TCTTATTATTATTATTATTATTATCATTTTTATTATTATTATTATTATTACTTGTAGGAGCGGACGGACGTCTTCTCGAAGGAGATGGTGGGCTTAGTGGTCTCTACTCAGGACACCACGCCCCGAGGCCTGAATCATCATCCTCCGCCTCTCCGCCCTCCGCCAGCCACGCACACTTCTCCGGTTTTCCGCCACACTCCGGAGGCATGCTTGTAGTGCCACAACCAATCAATGCATCTAAGGTTAGTGTGGATCGATTGATTGATTTTGTGTCGAATAAAATGATCGGTAAATGACTTATTAATGAAACCTAATTTTTTTCGATCGATTTTAGAGTGTCATTTTTGACTTTATTTTGAGTTTATTACTTTATTTACAAGTTTATTAAAGTTTGAGGGATTTTTCAATTGATTTGTTTAAAGGGACTGTACACGTAATTTCAAGTAAACCTCAATGCAAAGATGTGCTGTTAAAATGGTAAACTTGAATCCTTTACTAAAACAATATTGTCGTTTTCTAGGTCTAAAAGTATTTAATTCTGATAACTTCTTTATGTCTTCCTGTAATAGAAATGAGCAAATCAATTTTGTAGAAAAACCATTTAAAATTGTATCCACTGATATCTAATTCATACCTGATCATGCAGACAAAGCTTGGGTAGCGTTGTATCTTTGCATGGACGGTTACTTGAGATTACGCTTACAGTCCCTTTAATATTCTCCTGTATTCTAGATGGGAGGTATGGGGGATGGATCCCTAGGATTGCACCCCCACCATCACTTGAACGGAGTTCCAAGAAAATATCAGTGTAAAATGTGTCCACAGGTAGGCGCAGTACTGTACACTGTATAGTTACAATTATATATGTACTTATATAGACGTATAATAGACAAAAGAATATTTTTAAATTGTATAAATATTTCATACGCGTATTTAATGTTCAATTTGTACCTGTAAATTCCTTTAAATTTGATATTTGTTAAAGCAAAATATTCACCACGTCGTTCTCAAATTTTTTTCAAAACTCATCTAGTTCTACTTCTAGTATTTTATACTGTAATCCTTCTCCTAGTATTCAATACTCTGATCCTTCTCCAAGTATTCAATACTCTGATCCTTCTCCTAGTATTCAATACTCTAATCCTTCTCCTAGTATTCAATACTTTAATCCTTCTCCTAGTATTCAATACTTTAATCCTTCTCCAGTATTCAATACTTTAATCCTTCTCCTAGTATTCAATACTCTAATCCTTCTCCTAGTATTCAATACTCTGATCCATCTCCTAGTATTCAATAATTTAATCCTTTTCCTGGTATTCAATACTTTAATTCTTCTCCTAGTATTCAATACTTTAATCCTTCTCCTAGTATTCAATACTTTAATCCTTCTCCTAGTTTTCAATACTTTAATCCTTCTCTTAGTATTTAATACTTTAATTCTTCTCTTGGTTTAATCCTAAATGCTAAAGATTAGAATCTATTGAGGGCTTTTAGAGTTTAGTCCGCCTTATAATAACACTTAAGTAATAAACTAATAAACTGAGAAAAGGGGTCAATATACACTTTACAGCACTAAATATTCCTAAAAGTGCAAATATTTTCTTCATTTTAAACACAAACTTTAAAACAACTTATAAATGCGGAAGGAAAAATTTGTTTTATTGCCAAATCTAAACAAAAAAAGTAGAAATTGCTTAAATTTTTTTTTACAAGCATACTTCTTTACTCCTTTCGAACCTCCGTCAAATTTTCATTCAGTAGTTTTTTCAAAAAAGACTCGTCTTTACCTTTTTGTTTTGTGATTTTTAATTGGTTATACGGAGCGTCTCATATCTTATTCGATTATCTCCAAGCTTGGACTCTATAATAAACACATAATACTCGAAAAACATAACATTTTATGCAAAAAATTTTATGGAATGATCTATTCTTCTTAAAATTTCTTTTTAGTCCCGAAAAACGTAATTTAGACCCATCCTGACAATCTAATATGATGTGGAACACCCTGTAACTAAACATATCTCAGATAAAACAGTTAAAAACATTCACAAACTGCACCGTGCACCAGGACTTTCTATATAAACGAATATAAGGAGTTTCCTGGTGTATTTTACTTGACCGTCCATGAGTACCTCCAGCTCTTGAATACAGTTTGAAATACATTTTCCTTGATATCTCCTTTTACTTTGCTCGCTTGATTCACTTGATTTACTCCTGCATTTCCGCTTTCAATGAATATCCCTGAAATCTACTCCAGGCTTATTCTAAACCTTTCATGCTTTTATAATTCTTCCCCCCCCCTTCCCCCCTTTCCTACCATCTATACACAACATTCATTGTCTCTACACCTTAACTTCTTCTCCTTTTCTTAATTCGTTCCTGTTTTTAATTCAATTTTTCTCCTTTCATCGAACCTTTTTTCCATTTCCGCCTTTTCTTTCTCCTATTCTCCTTTCTTTTTTCCTGCTGGGCTCACAGTTTTGTCTCAAGGCTTATGCATGAGTAACCAAACCCCCCTCCCCCTTCTCCCCCTCTCCCCTCCCGTGTACGCCCCTATATTTCCTTCTTTCTGGATCATTTCATATCTTCTGGCTCTAATCAAACTTTCAAAAAATTTCCTCGTTTTTTTCCGACTTTCTTAAGTTTTGCTGATTTTATAAAGTTTCTAGATTCCACGTGTTCTTCAGTTTCTTTAATCAGTTTTTTGAGGGATCGGGTTTTCAGAGTTTTAGCAGTTACTTCAGGGGTTCTCCTGGCTTTCGACATTTTCTTAAGGTTTTCAATAATATCTAAGTTCTCTGTGTATCTACATTTACTCCAGGCTTTCCATGTTCTCCATGTTTTTACTATACTTCAGGATTTCCTTGTTCTACCGGATTTCTTCTTTCTTCTCCAACTGTATCTTGTTTGTACAGTTTCTTTCTCGGGAGTTCTTTAGGCTTTGAAGATTCTGAAGAATCTTAAATCAAGTGTCAAAGATATCCATAAAACGTTGTGTTATTGTTTGTATCTAATTAATGTGTAATAACGGGTTAATGATAGATAGATAGATACCCCCCAAAACATAGGTAAATATTTCTGCTTTACTACAGCAGTATGGGCAGTTTAGTGTATAGGGGACAATGACTTTTAGTTTTACAAGTTGGGTTCGTTCAGAAATTACGCTTAAAGATTTTTTACAATGCAAAAAGATGCGTGTACACTAATAGTTTTACAAAGAATTCGAATATATCATACTGAAAAAAAAGGTTTTAAAAGTAGTTTTTAATGTTTTGTATTCCTAATATATGAATATGTTGGGTTGAAGGGGTTGGCTGGGTATGACAGGCTGCTGGCCTGATGGGACTGATTATACTCTAGTCTAGGGCTTATATACTGCCTAGAGATAGATACAGGCGGAGATACACAGCTTACCCGGGATATATAGCTTACTCAGGATACATGGCTTACCCAGGATACATAGCTTACTCAGGATACATAGCTTACCCGGGATGCATAGCTTACTCAGGATACATAGCTTACACGGGATATATAGCTTACTCAGGATACATAGCTTACTCAGGATACATAGCTTACTCAGGATACATAGCTTACCTGGGATATATAGCTTACTCAGGATACATAGCTATCCCGGGATACATAGCTTATTCAGGATACATAGCTTTCCCGGGATATATAGCTTTACTCAGGATATATAGCTTACTCAGGATACCTTACCCTGGATAATCAGCTTCCCCGGGATACACTGCTTACGGGATACTAAGCTTACCCAGGATACATAGCTTACCTGGGATATATAGCTTACCAGGAATATAGCTTACTCAGGATACATAGCTTACCCAGGATACATAGCTTACCCGGGATACATAGCTTACCCGGGATACACTGCTTATGGGATATTAAGCTTACCCAGGATACATAGCTTACCTGGGATATATAGCTTACCAGGGATACACTGCTTACCCAGGATACATAGCTTACCCGGGATACACTGCTTATGGGATATAAAGCTTACCTGGGATACATAGCTTACCCGGGATATATAGATTAACCGGAATATAAAGCTTACCCGGGATACATACATAGCTTACCCGGGATACATAGCTTATCCAGGATACATAGCTTTTCACTAGGATACAAGGTTTTCACTATGATACAATGTTTTCACTAGGATACAAGGCTTCTGCCACGATCCATATAAAAAAGCGCTACCCAGCCCACAAATTGATACAAAAATACATTCACTATTTATTTAAAATTCATGATTCAACAAGAAAATTTTTCTCTTTTTCATCTCAGAGATAAAGCCTTTTTTGCATACTAAAGCGAGGGAAAGCCCTGTATGCATAGGCTGGGTATGTGGGCCTATAAACAAAATTAGTACTGTGCCTGCGTGGCCTGAAATCAAGTTCAAGTTCTGAACTAACCGGACCTATAAAGACATAGTACAAAAACCCCGCGAAATATGATGCAGATAATTCAACTTTTTGTTCCATTTCTATCAAGTAAAGAGAGGGGAGGCGATGACGTAAAAATGACGTCACTAAATAGCCTTTTTTTGCAAGTTTTTATCTCTGTAGTTGTTTTTGCGAGGTACCGCAAAGCTCCCTCTTAGTAGCGTCAATGTGATGAAAACATGCAATTCCACCTCAAGCTACTATGCCGTAATATTCAAAATATATTTAGGGACAGAACAAGGTAATTATTACCACCCGGTAACATTACTCGTGCAGGAAGTGGACGCACATCTTACAACATAAAAACTCTTATGCGTCCTTAGAATAAATTAATCTTTTTTGGGGGTATTTTTATTGGACTTTAGATAAGATGCACAAAATGGTGAGTCAGCGCCATGATATTTATTTTCCCATTTTCGGAATTAAGAAATTTAAGGAGTGGTGGTGGTGGGGGGGGATTATCTTTTATTTTGTGTTCTTGTTTATTAACAAATTTGCAGGAAATTCTTTAAATATATTTTCGAAATATTTGGCTAATTCATTCTACCAAATTTTGCAGTAATTAATTATAACGAAGAGAACAATTTTTTGATAATTGAATTTAACCCCCCCCCCCTCTCCTTTATTTTTCAATTATTTCTCCCTATTACTTTTCTAGTCATATCTCGTTCAAAATAAGAAAGTACTGGAGAAGGAATTATACTAAACCTGTAACAGCTCTATCCAACCTGATGACTAGATCTCCTCCTATCCAGGTTTAGCAGGTACCTGGAGAAGAAATGATACTAAACCTGTAACAGCTCTATCCAACCTGATGACTAGATCTCCTCCTGACCACCCAACTATTCCAGTAAACTAGACGAAGAATAGGAGGCGGGTCAAATTGCCCCAAATTTGCCAAGAATCGTTGATTTTGACAGGATTGATTGGAATTTATGTGCTGTCCTGGGTTGGGGGTTAAATAGATAGGGTTGGGTCGTATATTTAAGTTTAACTAGCTCCGGTAGTCTTTATACATACAGCATGCCTGCAGCTTCAACCATGATCAGTTTCAGCTCGTGCTACAAATGCATCCCATGCAATTATCTCATCTCCGATACCATCTTATGCTTCTAATCATAAATATATTCAATTCGTAAATCTACTTTCGATAACGATTTGTCATTCTGCGCTAGAAAATCTTATAAATACTTTGAATACTTTTTTTTAGATATTTTTAAAAATTTCTAATTTCTTGTTGATGCATGTTTACTATACTTTAGAGTTCAACTTTTGACAACTCTCTTCCTTTAAAAAATATATATATTTTAGATACATCATTTTTAGTTTAAAAAAATCAATTTGAGAAGACAAAAAAGTTTGATTTAA